GTGAAAACTTGATGCAGTTTTTTGTAATGACACTACTAATTTACATTACCACCAACGGTGTAAAAGTTTTCTCTGTAGCCCACATACTCATCAACATTTGTAGTCTCCACCTTTTTCATAATAGTGGTTCAGACAGATTTGAGATGATACATCCTTGTGAATTTTAATCTACATTTTTTATGACAATTAATGTTAAACATTTTTCTTGTATCTTTTGACTTTTTGCATGTCTGTCTTTGAGAAATATCTTTTCAGGTCCTTTGCCCATTTAAAAAAAATTATTATTGATTTGTATGAGTTCTTTTCACACTGTTGTTTTCTTTGCTGTGCAGAAGCTTTTTAAAAGTTTAATGTAATTCCTTTTGACAGTTTTTGCTTTTGCTGCCTGTACTTTTGGGGTCAAATCCAAAATACTGCCCAGGCAAATATCAAGAAGCTTTTTTCCCCTTTGTTTTCTGCCAGTGGTTTTTACAGTTTCTGTTTTTATGCTTATGTTTTTAATTCATTTCAAGCTGATTTTTGTATGTAGTGTGAGATAAAGGATTCAGTTTTATTTTTCTGCATATCTATCCAATTTTCTCAACACCTTTTATTGAAGAAACTGTCCTTTTCCAACATTGTGTACTCTTGGCACTTTTGTAAAAAAAAAAAACCTAATTGTACATGTGTGGTTCATTTCTGGGTTATTTTGTCACATTTATCATTGTGTCAGGTTTTTTTTTGGGGGGGGGAGGGTGGGTAATACCATTGCTGTTTTACTATAACTGCAATAGAACTTGAAATCAGATAGTGTGGTGCCTCCAGCTTTGTTCTTTTTGCTCATTTTGCTGTGTTATTTGAGGTATTTTGTGGCAGTCATTCTTTGTTATGTAGAACTCAAATTTCTTAGATCGTTTTCCTTCTCCCTGAAGAGCATTAAAATATTTTTTATTGTTGTAACATAATCATATATATTAGTGGGATTCATTATGCTGTATTCATACATGCACATAGCATAATTTGATCAGTCTCATTCCCAAATACCTCCACGTTTCCTTTCCTTCTCCCTCTCCCTGATCTGCTTACTCTACTAATCTTCTATTATTGTTACTATTATAATTTAAATTATATTTATTAGTGCATTATAATGATATAAAAGCAGAGTTCATTGTGATATATTCATGTGTGGACATAGCATAATTTAATAGATTTCATTCCCCAGTGCTTCCCCATGTTCTCCCCTCTTCCCTTCCTCTCAATCCCCTTAATTAAGACCTATTTTTAAAACATTTCTCCTGAGCAGGTCAGCAGGCAATGAATTCCTTGGTTTTGCTTTTCTGAGAAGTTTTTATTTCTTATTAACTTCTGAACAATAATTTGCTGGATATAGAATTCTAGACTGGTGGTTGTTTTGTTTCTATCATCACTTTACTCTCTTCTTATTTGCAAAGTTTCTTAAGAGAAATTCTCTGAAATTCTTATCCTTGTTATTAAGAAGACATTTTCCCCTTCTTCTCTGGCTTCATTCAAGGTTTTTTTTTTTTTTTTTTTTTTTTTTTGTCTTTTGTGCATGTGGTATGCCTCCTTTTACAGTTGTTGGTATTTTTCCTACTTGTATTCTCTGAGGTTTGATATGTGGAATTAGGGTCATTTCTTGGCTATTACTTCAAATATTTCATAAGCTTTAGTGTCTCTTCTGTTATTCCAGTTAGGGATATGATGCACGACTTGGAATTGTCCCACTGTTCTTTGAGGTTTTTGCTCTGTTTTATTCATCTTCTTTTTGGATTTGGAAGTTTCTATTAACCTAATTTTGTAAGTTCACTGATGTCCCAGGCTATCTACTAATATGTTCAACAGTGGCATTCTTTATTTCTGTTATAGTAGTTTAGCTATCTAGTATTTCCTTAAGAGTTTCGGTTTTTCTGTTTACATTATCCACCTGTTCTTGCATGTTGTCTGTCTTTCCCATTAGAACTCTTAGCATTTTATTGTAATCATTGTTATTTTAAATCTAGTAATTGCAAAATCTGTGTCATATCAGACTCTAGTTCTGAAGCTTGCTTTTTCTCTTGAAAATGCCTTTTGGAATGCTGTATAATTTCCTACTGAAAGCTGGATAGGATGAACTGAGTGATAAAAAATTGGGTAAACAGATCTTTAGTGTGAGGTTTTATGTTGTTTTGGCCTGGGTTGTGCCATATTGAATGTGTGTTGTAGCTATAGGTGTCAAAGGCATGAAATTCTAGTATTCTTGTTTTTTTTTTTCCTCTCCCTATCCTTTTTTGATATCTTAGTGAACTCCTTAGTTGAAGTCTATCTTGTAGCTCTTGAGCTGTCATTGACTGCTGTTACACTGGAACACTGTCAGTAATGTGGCTAATTATGGGGAAGGGAAAGAATTCTGCATTCTCAGTTTTTAGTGGCCTGTGTCATGGAGCTTTTCTCTTTACAACTGTATTTGAGCTTCTCCCATTTAGTGAAACACAATGGCCAGAGGAGACTGGAGTTGGAAACTTTCCTTCTCCTAGGGAACATAAGACTCTGGAAATATCTCACAATGGTTACTTTCTCTCTCTCCCCGTTCAGAGCCATGAGGGAATTTTTCTTGGCTCTTCCCCAAGTTTCTGGAGGTAAGACGCATGGAGGTGTGGGGGTAACCCTAAGACTATGTGCCCCTAGTATATTCCACTGAAGCTTGACCACTATTGCTAGCAATTTGTTAAAACTGCTAACAAAGTTAACATCTAGATATTACCATTTACTGCCTCTAGTAGCTTCTACTCCAGGTAAGCTGATCTTGACAATAACTATCTGAATTCTCCTGTCTCTGTATATTTCAGAATGGTGATTTGCCTTGCAATCTCAGTTCTCTGATGAGTCTAAGAATAAAGTCACTGATTTTCATTGTGCCCAGACTTTTCCTTGTTTAAGGACAGGTGTGATCACTTACCAATTTTTTATATGTTGGAGCTGAAACTGAAAGTCCTAGAATTCCTTTTGTATTTTAATATTTTTGCTTTTCTTAATCTTCTCTGATTTTCACAAAAATGGTGAAGATCAAAACTGGTACTAATTATGATGATAACATCAAAAACAATATAATATTTTTACCTTAAATTGTATTGAGAATGATCAGAGAAGTATTAGGGTTGTTTAGATGGCTAGATCAGTTAATAAGTTTATCCTTCTGTCTTTTTATGAGTCCTGAAAAATTTATAAGGATCACTGAATGGAAAATTTTGGACACATTGATCTGGACTAGGAATTTGCAGACTTTTCCTGTAAAAAGCTAGGTAGGGAATATTTTAGGCCTTTTTGTAGCCTGTACTATCTCTGTTGCAACTAATCAACTCTGCAGTTGTCCACAAAAGCAGCCATTAGTAATGCTTAAACAAATGAGTATGATGATGTTTTAATAAAAGTTTATCTACACATATAGGCTCTGTGCCGGACTCAACCCACAGGCTCTATTTTACCAATCTCTGCCTAAATTTTGGCAAATAGTACAATAGTACTCCCACTCCCAGCCTCACTGAGCCTAAGCCAGTTGCTGGATATTTACCAGCATATTACTGGCCATGACTACTGTATATCCTTGTCTACTTATGTGTCTGATTTTTGCTACAAAACTATGAGGTCCTTAGAGTTTGGAACTTATAACCCTAGCACCGAGCACAATGTGTGGTGTATAGTTGTCAGAGAAATGTTTTTAGTCATTTAGTCCTTGACTCAAATTCTGGCTTGACCCACTTACCTATCTTTATGACATTGGTGTGTAACCTTTGTTTATCAGTAAAATGGGAATGATAATGCCAGCCTCACGTGATTATTGTGAGAATTAATGAAAGACATACATCTGATGCATAGTAAATGCAAAAAGTACTTCACTCTAAGAAGTAGACATAGATGCCATTAGAGTCCAGACTTATGCAGAACTTTGTATTAAGTATTTGACCACAAACTGGATGAGAATCAAGAATGTGGAAGTTATTTTTGTGTATGTATATACTTTTCATTCTTCCCCTGCAAAATAATGGGATAAATTAAGAGAAATATGATATATAAGAGGCAGGAAGCAATCTCTCTGTTATATTTGGCTTTACTCAGACTCTTATTACAGTATCATGTCCAGTTTTACATTGCTCATTTTAAAGAGGATGTCAAAAAACTATATGTAGTATGTCCTGGGAAGAATCAACAACTATGATTAAAGGGACAGAAAATAGGCCCTTTGAGGCAAGTTTAAGGAACTCAGTTTATTTACTCTGGAAAGCAGACGGTAAAGGAGTTACTTAACTATCTTCAAGTATATGAAGGGTTATTATAAGGAAGATACTCTCAAGTTGTTCTCCAAATGCACAGAGGACCAAAAGAGGAAATCGACTTTTCATTTAAAGAAAATTGTGTTAAACACTGAAATGGACTATCAAGGGATGTCATGGAATCTCCATTTTAAAAAATTCTTTAAAAAAATAGCAACAGATGGTTATTCATTAAAAAGCTTAAATGTTTGACCTCATGAACGTGAGAGACAGGACTGTAGACCTGCAGCCTTTCCTTTTTGTGTGATATGATTTTATTTTATTTTTATTTTTTAAAATATTTATTTTTTAGTTGTAGTTGGACACATTATCTTTATTTCACTTATTTATTTTTTTATGTGGTACTGAGGATCGAACCCAGGGTCCTGCATGTGCGAGGCGAGCACTCCACTGCTGAGCCACAGTCCCAGCCCTGATTTTATTTACCATAATTTGCCAAGCATATCTTACAGGAAAATCACTTTTGATAAAATTATACCTGGGTTGCATTATATTTTAATTACTGGATTTATATTGAAAGAACATTTAGTATTATTTATGTGCTAGGATTTATAATAAAGTCAGTTTATGTATAAAAACTCTACATTTTTATCTTTTATATTCTACTTGATATATCTGAAGCATAATTGAAGAATATTCATAATTAATATTTTTTAAGTAGTACATTACAAATATTCTGTACCTCTTTTGTGACAGGGAATCCTCTTAGTATATGATATTACAAATTATCAAAGCTTTGAGAATTTAGAAGATTGGTATACTGTGGTGAAGAAAGTGAGTGAAGAATCAGAAACTCAGCCGCTGGTTGCTTTGGTGGGCAATAAAAGTAAGTTCTTACTACTTATTTATAGTAAAGTTTGTTTGCTGCTGTAAACTGAATATTTGTGTCCCCCTCCTAATTCATATCTTGAGACTCAAATCCCTAACATAATGGAAATTGGAGGTGGGGCTCTTGGGTGGTTGTTAATAAAGAGAATGGAGCCCTCTTAGATGAAATCAATACCTTTATAGGAACAGAGAGGAGAGAGGTGGTCTTTTTCTGCCATGTGGGGTTATAGCAGGAAGGTGGCCGTCTGTAAACTAGGAAGAGGGCCTTTACCAGATCCTGAGTCAACTGCACCATGGTCTTAGATTTCTCAGTCTCTGAAACTGTGAGAAATAATGTTGGTTGTTTAGGCCATCAGTCTGTGGTATTTTGTTGTAGCCACCTGAACTGAGAACTTACAAAGACATATGACTTTTTTGGAAGCTGTTTCCAAACTGGAAACAGAGTAGAAAATTCTTAAGAGTGTGTTCAGTCTTTTCAATAACTTTATTTTCATAAATAGTATCTGTTCTTTGAAATTCACAGTATACCATGTAGTGTACATCATATTGTAGTAAACATCTTTTAAATGCGTATTAATCCCCCATTTAGGCATTACAGTGTGGTAATGAATATGTACTGTTTAATAACTATTTTGATCTTTGCTCTCTCATAACTGCTCTGCTGGTTTTGGCCAATTCCTGTGAAGGTAAGTTCAGTCCTGACTCTGTGTGTTTTGGCTTCCTGTGGTCTAAGGAAGCAGCATGGACTATTAAGAACAGCAACACAGCTGTAGAGTTTATGATATTGCATTGCAGCTTCGGCTCTGTCCCTGAAGTTTTGAGATATATTTCGTTAAATAATCTTCTGTTTTAGAGAAGGAAGCAGTGTCTGCATAGAATTTTATATGCATTGTTTCTTGCTCCAATCACTTATGAACTTCCTTTTCAGAATTTTTGTGGTTTGTTCAGTGGTTTTTGTTTTGTAGTTTTTCTTTTTGAGAAAGAGTGCTTTATATTAGGAGAGGAGCAGTCCTTGGTAAAAATTATGGATAGCCATTTTTTGATATCTGTTTCTCAGGCTATGAGATATATCATATAAAATTTTAAAACTAAAATTAGTGCAGGACTGCTATTTGGTTCACAGGAAATGAATCATTGATAAAGGCTTTCAGATATGAAATATTAGATTTGACCTGATATTCTCCAACTTACTTGAAATCAGAAAGAGAGGAAAAATTTCAAATTGTATAGTAGAGGATGTAAGTCAGGAACTGTTTCCTAACTACAAGGATTGTTAACTCAATACCCATATATACTGCCCAGAGAATTACCTTCTCCAAAGGTCTTTGAAAATATAGTAATTTTTTCTCTGTAATTGTTTAGAAAATAGTGTTTCCTGTATAGCCAGATCAAGATTTATACATTGCTGATTGTACACACTGAGATGAGCATTTAATAAATCTAAGTCTTAATTTAAAACCATTGCAAAACAGGCTTGGATGCCATTTCTCTTAAGAGTTAAAAATATATAGTATTCACTAGAAAACAGTATTACATATCACAAAATGGCATGATCTGGATAGAAATTGTACTTTTTGAGTTTTTAAAGGTTATGTCAATGGGGCTGGAGTTGTAGCTCAGCCGTAGAGTGCTTGCCTCATCCATGTGAAGCACTGGGTTTGATTCCTAGTACCACATATAAATAAGAAAATAAAATAAAGATCCATCAACAACTAAAAGATATTAAAAAAAGTATGTCAAATTTTCTCATCTGTTTTATAAATAATTACTTTTAAATGAATCAGTTGCTTTTCAGTTCATTGAAATCTTCCTTTACAAATCTTCAGTTTTGATGATCTTAGGTTCGGTTTCTGGATTCAGCTTTTCATTTTAGGAGATAATTTCTTAATTGTTTATCATGTTACCAACACATTGGCTTATACTATGGTGAAAGTTATGCTTTATTGGGGGTTTCCCATCATTTATGGGAAATTATAAAGGGAGGAGGGGATTCATTTTTGTTTCTTTCAGAATATAATCTAACCACCATCTGAGATAATGGTATAGTGGGGCATAATTATGTACATTGTTACATGTTTATGCTATTTGTGAGGCATCCACCACTGATCCCTGTCAAAGACAGGAAATCAGACTAAATGAGCTATGAACTGGGCTGGTGTTGCCATGCCCAGGTTTTAAGAATAAACATTTATATGTTATTTGGATTTTTTACAGAAAATTAATGCAGTATTTTACTTGAGATTTAATAGTATAAAAGTCAGTTTTTTCCCCCCTTTTGGCTTCGCTCTAACTACTTTCTTACATGTTTTTATAATATTCTCTTTCAGAATGAGATCATAGAGTATGCAGTCACATAGACTGTTATACATGTAAAATGAAGAGATTCTAGATGAACATTTTCCAGGATATTGTTTACTGTATAATCTGTCACTAGCTCAATTTCATGTGATCATGTAATGAAAGATCTTTCTGCAGTTAAGAATATTAGGGGTTTAACTCTGAGCTTCCTCAATATTTTATGATTTCTGTTTTCAAATTGATGTTACATTAGTATGATATAGTAGTATGTATTCATTTTCTTTTTGGGAATATAATTACATTAAAAAGCAGTAAATTGGGTCTAGTGCTGGGCTCAGTGGTAGAGCACTTGCCAGGCACGTGTGGCCTGGTTTAATCCTTAGCACTGCATAAAATAAAATAAAGGTATTGTGTCTTCTACAACTAAAAATATATTTTTAAAAAACCAAAAAGCAGTAAAATTCACAAAAACTTCACACATTAACTAAAGGAAAAACAAGAGAAATATGATAGACATTTAAAACTAGATTATTCTCAACATTGAAACATAGTCATCTGCTTAAATGTGTTTTTTAACTGTTGTATCCCGTTTTTTGCAACTTAAATAGAAAACAAATATTGAAAAGAAATATATGTAGTCTGTTAAAATATTAACAGCAGTAGTCAGCTTTTAGCCAAAGTTAGTAGAAGGAGTGTGTGTTTGTGTATGTGTGTGTGTGTGTGTGTGTGTGAACTTTTTCCATGCAATGAGCTTATATTTAGTAAGTTATAAGATTATTTGCTTTTTATATCAAATACTAAACTTGAATTGAGGATAGAGGGTAGTCTGATATAAAGATGAATTTTTAAAAAATGAAACATTTAAGTTTTTTTTTATTTTTAAATTTTAGTTTATTATATATGACAGCAGAATGCATTATAGTTCATATTATACATATAGAGCACAATTTTTCATATCTTTGGTTGTACACAAAGTAGAGTCACACCATTCATGTCTTCATACATGTACTTTGATGTCTATCTCATTTCACCGTCTTTTCTGCCCCCATGCCCCCCCTCCCTTTTCTTCCCTCCCCTTTACCCTATCTAGAGTTCATCTAATCCTCCCCCCACCCCACCAACTACATTATGAATCAGCATCCTTAAATCTTATACATCCTTATATCTTATACTTATAATGAGTTAAAAAAGAAATTCCTGGTAGGTAAATTTCAAAACAAGAAAGAATGTAGCTCATTTGCTTTATTCTGTGCCTGTCACAGAAATTCAGCTGACATTTAGTGATCTTGGCCACTCCATGTAGAGTGAGATGTCTGAAAGGCCACAAATTCAGTTGCATAAGCACCTGTAAACCATTATATTACCATATAAACCATATAAACCATATAAACTTGTGCAAGGAGGTACAAGGCAGGGAGCAGAATCTATCTAATTTCCTGGCTGTGGAAGTCATGCTATTCCAGTTTTGGCTCACTCTCACTTCAACTGCAGAGCCTCTAGGTATTTAATTTATGTCCCCTTAAGGGCTCTTCATGGATGAACTTGGCCATGGCTTAACATACCACTGTCACTGCTCATGTAAACTATTACAGTATTCCCCTAACTAGTCTTCCTGCTCTTAACTTTGTTCTTCTGTGACTCAGTTGTCAAGTGACAAATCAAATTATATGATTCTTTTGCTCAAAACCCTTAGTATTTTCTTATCATACTTCCAGTGAAATCCAGATTCTTTTTTTTTTTTAGAGAGAGAGAGAGAGAGAGAGAGAGAGAGAGAGAGAATTTTAATATTTATTTTTTAGTTTTCGGCGTATACAACATCTTTGTATGTGGTGCTGAGGATCGAACCCGGGCCGCACGCATGCCAGGCAAGCGCGCTACCGCTTGAGCCTCATCCCCAGCCCCAAATCCAGATTCTTTATCCAGTTTTGCTGGGTATACATGATCTGGTCCTTCCCTGTCTCCCAGACCTCATTTTCTACATGTTTTCTTGCCCACTGTATGCTGAAGACTCATTATTCTATTTTTTTCCTGTTTCTAAAACATTCCAAGTTAATCTGTACTAGAATTTCTTCTGCTTGAAATGCTTTTCCCTTGATTTTTGCTAGCTCCATAGGTCATTTCATTTCATTTTAAATGTCATCTTTTTAAAGTTGCCTTCTTTGACCATTCAGTACAGGAGCCCCACAAAATCCTTTATTTCAGGTCATTATGTTTCAATTTTCCGTATAGTCTTATTGCCATCTGTCATTATTTCTTGCCTGCCTTTCTCCACTAACAGATTTAAGCTTTATGAAAACTAAGGACTTCATCACTGAGAACAGTGCCTGAATGAGTGAATACCGAATGAATGGATAAAAGCCTTTTCATGAAGACTCTGTTGAAATTAGAAGTGTTTATGGCCCAGGGTGTGTTATTCGGAGAAAATGTTTTCCTAACGAGGAAAATACATATTTAGATATAGGGAATCTATTAGATGGTCTTCAGACCTAACTGTTCCACTGAATTCCACCCTGATGAATAATGTCAGTGGGATTTCTTAGGAAATACATCCTAGTTGTATTATGTTGGCTAGTGTTTGAAATAAAATGTCAGAAATTTTACATTCTGATTTTAGGATAAATAAATACAAAAAAATTAGGAAATTTGCTTCTTTTTCCTAACTTGTGACTTACATAATAGAAACCTCTACCATTTTTACTT